CCCATTCTGTGAAGAGGCGTTTACCTAGATGGTCACGTCCCAGAACTGTGCTCGGACGGCATCAGCATGTCCACCTACGGTTGGGGGCCCTCGGATCTGCCATCAGCGGCCGACAGTCCCGGCAGGGATGAGTCACCTGCTTCCGTGTCCTCTCCGTGACTTCCTGTGCCGTGAGGGGTGAGTCAGGCACGTTTTCCAGGTGACATTTCAGCCCGACTCCCCTGAGGTTCTCTCCACTCACTGGTTCTTTGTGATGTCAGGGAGGGAGAGAACTCCCAGAATCCCCCATTCTCGTTCTTCAGTGAATCGCACACGAAGTGCCAGGGCAGGAGAACAACTCCCCACAAAATCCGGGTAAGAAGGCCTGCTGTTCAGAACGAACGAGGCTGGCTGAGGTCCGGACGAAGATGGGAGGGACGCAAGGTGCGTAGGTGCTGTGTGTGGGGGGGTTTAAAAAATGTTTCTATTGATTTGAGAGAGAGGAAGATAGAAACATCCATCAGCTGCCTCCTGCACGCCCCCTACTGGGGATCGAGCTGGCAACCCGGGCACGTGCCCTGACCCTGACTGGGGATCGAGCCACTGACCTTGGTTCATGGTCGATGCTCAACCACTGAGCACACGGCTGGGCTGGGGGTGCTGTTTTAGAGGTTGCCGTGGCAACCAGACTTGGGCCGTTGTCTCAGGTGCATGAGCCGTTAGACATGAGCCCAGCACAAAGAACCGAAAACAACTCGACAAGGACAAATGCACCCCAGACGCTATCCGCCGGCTGTGGGAGGAGAGCAGGAGGAACGGGGCAGAGGGAACGGGAGCTGTACTTTCCATGCGGGGTTCTCCAAAGAGCACGATGCAGCCCGTCTTTTCCTTACGCCTCTGCCTGCGCGGTCGCCGCTCTGCATGGGCACTTCTGTCTCGTATGTGGTCTCAGCCTCCCGCCATGGGGTTACTGATAATCCTCCGTCCGCGACACCTCTTCCAGGGCCACTTTTATTGAGATGCTTCTAATACGCCCCCGATGAACCCGTTGCTGGGAGCGTAGGCATCTGGTCTCCACGTGAAGCCCAAGCTCTTCTGGTCGGTCTAACTGGTGAGGGCTCTTGGTCAGTGGGGAGCGGGGGACTTGTTTTTCCTTCCGGTTGTCATCATGGGCAGGAGGGCTGCGGGGTCTTCTTGCTGGCCATGGAGTGTGCAGAGGCTGATGTGTGCTCCCCATGATGCTGTTCGGCTGGTTCTGGGGGTCACGGCTTGGTTTTACCTTCAGCTGCCAGCACAGACGCAAACACCAGGCAGACGTCCTGCAAAGGGCCCAGGGCACTTCCTGTGGGCAGGCGGGCCTGGGCGCTGCTGTGCAGCCTGGGTCAGGTTTCAGGGATGAAACACACAGAAGCTAAAATGCAGAGCGAGCACAAGAGCCAGCCCTTAAACGGCGTCTTTCAAAAAATAACTTCAGCTGAGAAAAACAATCTATTCACCTCCGCGACCTGCTGACTCTCAAAAGGACTGACATCATCCTGTTCTTAAGAAGAGCTTTTAAAAGACTCCCATGTGCTTCCATAGCAAAGGGTAATTTTCCTTCTGATTAGACGTTTATTATAGAAAACAAAAGCCGCAGGAAGAAATACAAATCATGTGTAGTTAAAAAGCCTTTTTAAGCAAAACACTGCTTTGGAAGACTGTGACCGACAAGGCCCCATACAAATGCAAAGTGGGCTTAGGATCCTCTAGCCCCAGGCTGGCCTCTGCCCAGGGTGCAAGTGGGTGCCTGAGGGGCGCTGTGCCCATGACTGTGGAAGCCGGCAGGGTAGGAAATGAAAAAGAACCACAATGCCCTCCAATCCGGCCAGCCCGAGGGACTCCAGGCGCCCGGAGGCCTCTCCCAGTGCGTCGGGGTGATGCCTCCCGCAGCCATTCCTGCCCGGCGGGGAGGGCTGATCTGCAGCCTCCGCAGGGGAGAGCAGCCCTTCCTCCTGGGGCTGGAGGCGCTCATCAGAGGCGGCTTTTGCTTTTATGCCAAAGTGAAGTCTGTCTTCCCCTAAGGCCGCAATGTTCCCTCCTCTGTCCTCAGAAATCGCTCTAACTCCACGCAATCTCTTTGCTCACGCGGACCCTAAACACCTGGAGGCAGCTGGGACACATCCACTCCCCCACTCAAACCTTCCGGCCGGTTTAGGCCGGTTTAACGCAGAAGCTGGAGATGGGAGGACTGGTGTCTACCTGACTGCCTGGGCGCTCTGGCACCGAGGGGCTGGCTGCCCTTGGGAGCTACTCCAGTTGGCAGACGTTAATCGTTAATCGTATCTCAGCAAACGGCGTCCGCTAGGCATTGGGGACTTCTCGCGGCTGACCTTGTTCCAGAAAGGAGGAAAAGGCCCGTGTCTTTTCTGGCCAGAAACGTGAGGAACTGCTTTATAACGTAAAAACAACTACTTCTTCACACACGGACACTGTTGGCAGCATCAGTGCGTTGCAAACACACTCCAGCACCTAAGTTCTGATGGAGATGGAATGATTTTTAACCCACACAACAGGCGGAGGAGTTAAGGACCCACATGGATGACCTTCTGTCCTAAGTAAAAGAATTATTTTTTTCTTTAAAAAAAGCAATTAACAATAAAAAATACCTCATTTCTAAGAAACTTGTTGGTTAGATTGATGTATTTACATGTGCTACAGTAAAAATCTGATCACTGTTCTGCACTGTAGGTTTTAAATAGAACTAAACTAAATTTGCTGGGTGATTATAACATGGTGCACAGGACTAATAAACGCGACTATGTTAAGGCTTTTCAGTAGTGTGGATGTACATGCAAACACATATACACATATGTACCCATCACAAGACTTAAAACCTTCTATCAAAAAAATTTCACATAAGCCCTAGCTGGTTCGGCTCAATGGATAGAGCGTCAACCTGCGGACTGAAGGGTCCCGGGTTCCATTCCGACCAAGGGCACATGCCTGGGTTGCAGACTCGATCCCAGGTAGGGGACATGCAAGAGGCAGCCAATCAATGATTGTCTCTCATCATTGATGTTTTTCTCTCTCTCTCCCTCTCCCTTCCTCTCTGAAATAAAATAAAATATATTTTTAAAAAAAATTTCACATAGCCCTAACCCGTTTGGTTCAGTGGACAGAAGGGTCCCAGGTTCGATTCCGGTCAAGGGCATGTACCTTGGTTGCGGGCACATCCCCAGTGGGGGGTGTGCAGGAGGCAGCTGATCGATGTCTCTAACTCTCTAACCCTCTCCCTTCCTCTCTGTAAAAAAATCAATAAAATATATTAATAAAAAAATTTCACATAAGATGAACATTTAGCCAAGAGAGAGAGCGAAATTCAAACACATCTTCGGAGGTAAAAGCAAACAAACATCGCTTTAAATGTAAACATCTTTTCCCTTACAATTCAATGGCAACAATGCAGGCGAATTCCTGACTGTGCAAAAATAAAAATAAAAAAAATCATTTACTACAACAGTAGCAGTGCCCTTCAAGTGAAATTTGAACTTAAAAGTCTTAGAAACCCGCCCATTCCGGCTTCCCCACTGTCTCCCAGGTCGGTTTCTGGGATCCCCCCGCCCCCCATGAAGGGGGACCGCCTGGCAGCTTGTGATGTTGCTGTGACACCGGGAACAGGCCACCCGCTCACCACCAACGCCGGGAGCCAAACAGGCCCGGGAGGTGAGCAGCGCAAGGGCCGCCCCGGAGCTCGGCGGCCGGGCCTGCGCCCCGTTTCGGAGAAACTGAGCCCCCGCCGGCGTCGGGGCGGCAGGGAGAGCCCTTACGCCAAGGCCCCCGGGGCCCGCGCGGCCGCGCCGGGAAGGTCCCTAACGCCCCGGGGCGGGAGGACGCCTGGGAAATGCGATGTGGACTCAGACCCTCCCCCCCCCCCAGCTCCCCGACCAGCAGGCCGGGCCCGGGCGCCCCTGCAATGCGGATCCCCACCCGACGGCCCCCCCCCCCCCGCCTGGCCGCCCCGCCCCAGCCCAGCGCCGGCGGAGCGGACGGTGCGCAGCCTGGACGGGAGCCGAACCGGCTGCAAGGCCTGCGGGTGGGCGGCCGGCGCGGGGGGCGCGCAGCGCTCTTGCCCGCCGCCCCGCACTGTCCGCCCGCGCCGCTCCCGAGCGGTTCCCGCAGGGGGAGACACCCTCTCCCCCGAACCCTGCGGCTGGGACGGGGCCCCCTCCCGCTGCAGCAAAGACTGAAAAATCATCGCCATGAATCCCCGTCCCGACAGGTGCCCCGCCGCCCGCAGAGCCGCCCGCAGAGCCGCCAGGTGAGCGGGGCTGGACGCGGGCTCACCTCGGGCCCCGCCTCACCTGCGGGCGCGGCAGGCGCGGTCCTTCAGGCGGCTCCCCGCCTCGGCGCGGTCCTCGGGGCGGGCGGCGGGGGCCGGCGGCCCATGGGCGGGGCGGGGCGGCGGGCGGGGCTGGCACCGGGCTGCGGGCTCCGGCCCTGCCCCGCCGGGCCGCCCAGGGAGGTCAGTGGGCGCCGCCCGCCCAGCGCATCTCGCCGGCTCCCCCCGCCCGAGCGCCGCCGCGGGGCCCGCCGGGAGCGGTCGGGGCGGCGGGGGCGGCCGCGCTGACGGGGCGGGCGGCCGCGGCGCCGGCGGGTCTGTGTCTGCGGGGCGGGGCGGCGGCGGGCGGTCGATACTCACTGGGCAGGGCGGGGGCGACGCGCCCGTCCCGCAGCCGCGGCGGCGCGGAGGGACCGCACCGAGCGGAGGGGGCCCGGCCGGTGGGACGCAGGCGCACAGCTCAGGTGCGGCCGCACTGCGGTTGCCCCGGGTAACGCGGGCCGGGCCGGGCGGGGCGGGGGGAGGAGCGAGGCGGCGAGCGGGAGCGCGCGCGCCGGCCGGGGTTCGAGGGGAGGCTCGGGGGGGGGTCCCCAGGACCCGCCTGGGATTGGGGGGAGGGCGCGCGGGCCGGCGCGGGGCGGGGGCGGGCGCGGGGGGGCAGGGGCGCCGGCCGGCGTTGCGCATGCGTGCGGCGCGCGCTCCCTGGGGCCCGCCGGCCTGGTGCGTGCGCACGCGCGCTGGGCCCGGAGGCGTCGGGACGTGCGGCGCGCGGGGCGCGGAGGCGCACCTGTGAGGTGTCCCCAGAGGAGCGGGCGGTGGGTGCGCGGAGCCGGGCCCGGGCGCCCCTACCCCTCGCGCGGCGTGAGTTCCCGGGGCCGGGCTGCGGCCTCTCTGTCCGGGGCCCGGGCGGGGCGCCGGGCGGCCGTGGGGGCGGGGGGCGCGGGCGCGGGGGGGCCGGAGGCGGAGCGGGTGAAAGAAAGGCCCGCAGCCCGCACTCGGGATGGGCCCGCGCCGGGCCGGCCCCTGGGCCCCGGGCGGAAGGTCCGAGCCGCCCCGGCGGCCCCGGGGCGGGCCCCACGGAGGGCAGCGGGGTCTCGGGCCTCCGCGCCCGGCGTGGGCCGCGGCGCCGGGCTGCGCGGAGTGGGGTTCCCAGATAGCGGCCGGGGGCGCGGCGCCGGCTGGGCAGCGGCAGGGCGAGGCCCCGCGGGAGCCGGACTCCCGAGCCGCCTCCATTGTTGTGGCGGCCGAGGGAAGGGGGAGCAGAACCGCCCCGGGGCCCGAGGCGCGGCGCCTTGGAGCCCTTCCCGGCGGGTCCCGGGAGAGGCGGCCGGGGCCGGGGCCGGGGCCGGGGCGCGGGCGGCGGCGGGGCCTCGCTGCAGGGTGCGCTGTGGTTTTGCAGAGCCGGCGGCCCGGAGCCCGACGAGCGCCCTGCGCAGGTGACGAGGAGCCGGGCGCGGAGCGGCCGCCGCGGGACGCCTCCATTCCATTGTCTGACCGGGCCGGGCCGGGCCTCCCCAGGTAAAGCGGCGGCAGCGCGGCGAGGGGGGTGCCCCCTCTTTCGGGACTTGGGGTTCCGTCCCGTCCCTGCTTCTGATGAACTCAGTACGTCCACCTCCCAGATCCGGGCTCATCTGCCCGCATCTCTGCCAGGTCACCTCTCGTCCCCCCCAAAACTCGGCCCCTTTGGGGAGCCCTCCCTGCGGGGCTCAGCTGCTCGCTCCCTGGCCGAGCGCTTGCTTAGTGGTTGTCTTACCGCAACAAAGGAGCCAGAAATGAGAAAGAAAGAAAAAGAAACCCCAGCTATTGCTTTTTCTGTTGTCGCCGAAGGAACGTTTTGCGCGGTGGAGACCGTGTATTGTCTTCACAGGACCGACCTGGTTTTGTTTCCATGTTTTGTCTCCTCTAGACGGGGACCCCACTTCCTGTCTTAGATGCATAGCAGGAAAGTGACCTTGTTCCCCCGAACCCCGCCCCCCCCCCCCGCTCCCCCAGGTTAAACTGTTTTAAATTAATTGTAAACGAGTCAAGTCCTACGTTTTTCCTGGTAGAAATGCAGACATCACCAAGGTGGCTCAAGTCTTTGCCGACCAGCCCGTCTGCAGAGTGAACTGCCGTGTGTCCTTGTAGATCGGTTAGAGACTCGCACGGCCTTTGTTTTCGCATCGGCCAGGGCACCGCCGTCCGCTGCAGCCGGAGAACTGCCTCGCGTCCGCCCCCTGGTCCCTCCCCTAGTCCGGGTGGACCGCGGCTTATTCCGCCATTTCCTGGACTGGTGGCCGTTTAAGCTCCAACTTTATACCTGAAACAGCCTTTCTGGTGGTGGCTCGCGGGGAAGTGCAGTGTCGGTGAAGGTGCACGAAGGACACCAGTTACAGAGTCGAGGGGAAGCTCTCGGTTACCAGCCCCGCAGCCCCTCCCCCTGCTCTCAAGCCCCCTGACCTTGGGCGGGACTCGATCCTCCCAACCTCAGCTTTCTGTCCTGTCCCTGGTGGTAATACCTGCTCTGTTTACGCCACGGGGTTCAATGACAAGAAGTATGTGAAAGTGCTTTGTAGAGTGTAGCGTGCTATATAAATGTTGGTTTTATTAGCTTTTACGACCCAAAGGAATTTTTTATTTGCAATATAATTTATATTTTCTCTTTTGACCAGATGTGTGTATTACAGAATACCAGAGATCGCCAAGTTTGCCTTTTAATTCGTGATTTTGTTATTAATTTTTATCAAGTGCTGTTAATACTTAGACTTCTTAAAGGATATTTTCCGAAGTACATGTTTTCTAGTGCTTTACATGCCATAAAAAATAAGGCAGATAAGTTCGTTGACTACAAGTGAAGTATCAGCACACTGAACACAGCATCAAACAAAACTCTCATAATCGTGTAACAAACCTATTTCCGAGTGAGAAACGCGTGCACGCTGTCCTGCGGCGGCCGCAGCGGTTGTTTGCGCTTTCACGTCCATCGGGTAAAATGGACTCTTCCTGAGTTTGTAGGCAGCATCAGAAAGAGTTCAGCAATGTAAATACTGACTGAACGATGGGACGGATGTCGTTTTAAGATGTAAGAGATGCAGTTAAGGGCCTTGTAAGTATTTTTCTTTCATTCAGATATACTCGAGGGCTTGTAGTGTGGCCAGAAAAATCAGCGAGCCCTGGTCCTGGTGGGAGCTTATGATCTGCAGTGGAGGGGATGGAAATGAAAGGCAGGCCCTCGGCTGCTCTGATCCCCAACTGGCATCTGCCCTAGGAGGGGACAAGAGGACCGAGTTTTAGGATGGATCCTAAAGATCCCCGGAAAGATCCATCCTTCCTCCCCCCGCCTCTCCCCCTCTTCACAGAAGTAAGATTTCAGCTGAGATCTGAGGGCGAGCAGGCGTCCGTGTAGAGTGATGTCCGTGTAGAGTGACGTGGGGCATGTGGGAAGGCCTGGAGGGGAAGCGCTTTGCCCGCTCCAGGACCTGAAGGGTGACTGGTGGTTACGCAGGCGAGGGGAGAGTGTGGCCAGGCGGGGCCTCGGGGTCACTCGGGGTCGGGCAGGGTCTGTAGGCTGGGTTCAGGGTGTTTTATCTGAGGGAAACTGGAAGCCTTCGCCAGGGCCGGGTTTAAGCGGAGGAATGACATAATCGGCTTTGCATTTTCAGACAGCATTCCAGCTGCTACACGCAGAATGTGGGGGTGGGGAGTGGAAGTGGGGGAGGCCAGGGAGGCCCTTTCGGAGGTCTGTCTGGACGAGAGGGGTCTTTACTCTGGAGTTCACATTGAATTCAGCTACCAACTAAACTAAGGTCAAAATAGATACTTTATTCTTTTTTCAAAAGCCCTCATTTTATCAAGTGGAATGAAAAGGCACATTTTAATGCAAAAAACACATAAATGTTAATTGTCCACATTATACTGAACAAGAAAATAATCAAATTTAAAATTGGGAAATTATTGAACACGGGTTTTCTAAGTTTTGTCAAAACAGTGATACATGAAATAAGAGTGCGGGGAGGGTCAGCAGTGAAAAAGGGAACTGTGTTGTAGTGCTGTTGGCTCCAACAATGAGAGTTTCTGAAAAACAGACCAAAACACGTGAGGGTGGGATTGAGTACAGAATGCACGCGTGAGAGGCATAGCTTCCTGAGCACCAAACAACCGGCAGGAACTACAACGGAAGAGAAAGCAGGCTCAGCTTCCACTGCGGCAGAAAGCACACACGGGGTCCAGTCTGACGGGGACATGCATGATCACCGTGCGGGGAGCTCAAACTGCAGAGCAGCCCGGATCCCAGCGTGTGTGTCTAAGCATAGAACTGGACAGAGGGATTATGAGGAACGAAGGAGCTTTAAAAAGCAAGGTAGTTGCGTGTGTATTGGCGTGGCCTGGGTGGATGTGTAGGATATATTACTAAGCCAAAAAAGCAAATTTAATTTTTTGTAAGATCCCCCAAAAAGAAAGAAATCTGTGTGTTTGTGTTCTGAATAAATATAGAAAAAGTTTGAGAACCAAAATATTTGAGAAGGATACGTTGTAACTACTGAGGGAAAGTCATAGGGGAGACAGATTGAAAAAAAAAATGTTTTTGTTGGTTTCAGAGAGGAAGAGGGAGAGAGAGAGAGAGAGAGAGATGGATGGATGGAAACATCAATGATGAGAGAGAATCATTGATTGGCTGCCTCCTGCATGCCCCACACTGGGGATCGAGCCTGAAACCCACGCGTGTGCCCTTGACCAGAATCGAACCCAGGACCCTTCAGTCCACAGGCCGACACTCAACCACTGAGCCAAACCAGCTAGGGCAGTAGAATTATTTTTAAGGGTGAGTTTGTAGGATGATTAAGTTCTGATTCATCAGCTCGGTAATGTAGGGCCATTAAAATGTTTATGTAGAAAATGTATTAAACTTTTAATGACAGAGTTAAGTGGAATAAAACCAGGACACGAAATTACATACACGATAAGATTAAAACTCTTAAAAATCCTAACAACTGTCCACAAAAACCTATGGAGAATAGTCTAGAAGAAATTAGGTGAGAATCTTAAAAATTGTATACATTGGGAAATAGCATGTTGGGTGATTTTAAAAATTTACTTTTTGGGGTATTTTCTAAGACTCTGTATTACATTTATGGTGGAACATTTAGTTTTGGGGAGCACATGTATCTGGGACGCCCGTTAGCTGCATGGTGAATAGGGATGTGCACTTTGAAGATGAGATCTGCCCTGTCACAGTCAGGCAGGCTCTAAACTGCTCCCTAAAATCGGCTTAGCTAAGTGGTTTGTTCTTAGTGGAGCATTTGGAATAAGCTGGAATGAATCTGTTACTTCCAGTATTTGGAGGAGAATTGCTTCCTAACAATATGCAGAATAAGAGTGGTTCCCTCTTCTAATTTTGTACGCGTGGAATAAATGCAGAAGCTTGAACCCGGGCCTGGGATTTCCCGGTTTGACTCTTGTTTACTCACTGCGTTTCTAACATGGAGAGGCAGTCAGGCTTTCGGGATGAGGAGGGGCGGCCAGCCAGACCAGGGGCAGAGCATCGAGAGCACAGTCATGATGCAGGGTCCGCAAGGGGCGTGCAAGGTCGGGGCGGCTGAGCAGGTTCTAGAGCAGAGCAGTGATGGCGAACCTATGACACGCGTGTCAGAGGTGACACCCGAACTCATTTTTGGGGTTGATTTTTCTTTGTTAAATGGCATTTAAATATATAAAATAAATATCAAAAATATAAGTCTTTGTTTTACTATGGTTGCAAATATCAAAACATTTCTATATGTGACACGGCACCAGAGTTAAGTTAGGGTTTTTCAAAATGCTGACACGCCGAGCTCAAAAGGTTTGCCATCACTGCTCTAGAGGGATGACCAGGTGCTCCTGGGGGTCCGCAGGGGATCCTGGGAGTGGGGACAGAAGGGAGATGTTCAAGAATGTGTAAGGGCCCCGGGAGCACATCCCATAATCCACCCCTGAGGGGAAGGGTGGAAGTCAGGGAAGCCGTCCCCGAGAAAGTGCCGTCGGGTGCGACTGGAAGGTGAACGGGACAGAAGTGGGAAGGCCTGGAGGTAGAAGGAGCTGGGGGCGGAGGGGAGGCTGTGGCTGTACTAGAGCTGATGGGCAGTGGTGAGAAAAGAGCCAGGATCGGTGAGGAGGAGCTAAGGTTGCCCGGAGCGCCAGCGCCGCATGAATAAGGAAATGACACTGACGCTCAGTGCCGGGGAGCAGTTGTGAGCAGGGCAGGACAACCGTTTTGCATTTGAGAAAGATGCCGTCAGAGTGGGCAGGTGAGGGGGAGGCAAGATGGGAGGCTTTTGTAGGATCCGGGGAAGAGGGCTCGAGCGGGCCTGGTGAGGGGGTCAGAACCAGTCCCGCTGGGGGCAGGGGCCCTCCTCTCGCTGGGGAGGTAGTAGGCTTCGGGGAGGTGGCGGGCGGACAGGCTGCGTAGAAAGGGCGCGTGGGCGTGCAGGTTCTTCCCAGAGAGGATTGGCGGGGATGGTGTTGTGCAGATCTGGGCTTTGCTGTGCGCACAAACCCATTCC